GATGGATCCCTCGCGCGCCCCGCGCGTCGCCCCCGCGGCCCGGTCGGCCCCCGAACGCCCCGCCGGCGGATGCCTCGGCCCGGGCGGCGACGAAGAGCGCGGCGGAGCGCGAGACGCGGTGCGGACCCGCCCGCCCCGAGAAGCACCGACCCTCGAACGCAGCGCGCCCCGGCGCCGCCGCCTCGGCGCCCGCCGCGTGCCGCGCGCCGCGCCGCAGAGAGCGCCCCGGGGCGGTCCCGCCGGGCTGCGCGGCCCGAGGCGGCGGGGGCGACGGGCGGAACTTAAGCATATCAGTACGCCCCGGAGGAGAAACCAACCGGGATTCCCCGTAGCGGCGAGCGACGCGGGAGGAGCCCGCCCCGAAGGCGCGCTGTGGGGCGCAGGCGCAGGCCCGCCGCGAGGGGGCCCGAGGGCCCCGCCCGAGAGGGTGCAAGCCCCGTACGGCGGCCGCCGGGCCTGCGCGGCGAGTAGCGCTGCTTGAGCGTGCAGCGCGAAGGGAGGCGCGGCCCTTCCAAGGCTAAATACGCCCCGGGACCGATAGCGGACCAAGTAGCGCGAGCGAACGGTGAAAAGGACGCCCTGCGGCCGCTCAAAAGACCTGAACCCGGCCGGCCGCCGGCCCGCCGGCCCCGTCTCGAAACACGGACCGAGGAGCCACGCGCCGCGGCGAGCCCGAGGGAGCCCCCGCGGCGGAGCGAGCGCGAGACGCCCCGGGCCCGCCGCCCCTGCGGGCGTGCGCGGGCCGAGCCGCGGCGCGTGGGCCCGAAGGCGGTGATCTATGCCCGGCGAGGGCGAGGCCGGGCGAAAGCCGGTGGAGGCCCGCCGCGGTGCTGACGCGCAGATCGCTCGTCGGAGCCGGGCATGGGGGCGAAAGACTCATCGAACCGCCTGGTGCTGGTTGCCTCCGAAATGTCTCCCAGGACAGCCGCCGCCCCGCAGTTGCGGCCCGTAGAGCGCTGGCCGGCGGGAGCGGGGGGCCTGCCCCTCGCCCGCCCCCCAAACTCCGAAGGGCCGCGCCGCCCCGCCGCTGGCCTGGGGGCCTCTGCGGCCTCCTACCCGCCGCGCGCGGCGGCCGGGCGCGGGTCCGGGGCTCCGGCGCGCTCCATTTTCCGGGCCGGCCGATTCGGCTGGTGGGTTGTTACACACTCCCTGGAGGATGCCGACTTCTGGGGCCACCTTCCAGCTGTCGGGACCGGCCGACGCCGTTCCGCGGGCCCCGGCGGCGCACCCTGGCCCGGCGTCCGGATCGTCCCGCCTCGCCCGTCCTGCTTACCAGGAGGGGCCCACGCGCCGCCCGCATTCGCCCGCCCCGCCCAGGCCAGCGGCGGGGCGGCGCGGCCCTTCGGAGTTTGGGGGGCGGGCGAGGGGCAGGCCCCCCGCTCCCGCCGGCCAGCGCTCTACGGGCCGCAACTGCGGGGCGGCGGCTGTCCTGGGAGACATTTCGGAGGCAACCAGCTACCAGGCGGTTCGATGAGTCTTTCGCCCCCATGCCCGGCTCCGACGAGCGATCTGCGCGTCAGCACCGCGGCGGGCCTCCACCAGGCTTTCGCCCGGCCTCGCCCTCGCCGGGCATAGATCACCGCCTTTCGGGCCCACGCGCCGCGGCTCGGCCCGCGCACGCCCGCAGGGGCATGGCGGGCCCGGGGCGTCTCGCGCTCGCTCCGCCGCGGGGGCTCCCTCGGGCTCGCCGCGGCGCGTGGCTCCTCGGTCCGTGTTTCGAGACGGGGCCGGCGGGCCGGCGGCCGGCCGGGTTCAGGTCTTTTGAGCGGCCGCAGGGCGTCCTTTTCACCGTTCGCTCGCGCTACTTGGTCCGCTATCGGTCCCGGGGCGTATTTAGCCTTGGAAGGGCCGCGCCTCCCTTCGCGCTGCACGCTCAAGCAGCGCTACTCGCCGCGCAGGCCCGGCGGCCGCCGTACGGGGCTTGCACCCTCTCGGGCGGGGCCCTCGGGCCCCCTCGCGGCGGGCCTGCGCCTGCGCCCCACAGCGCGCCTTCGGGGCGGGCTCCTCCCGCGTCGCTCGCCGCTACGGGGAATCCCGGTTGGTTTCTCCTCCGGGGCGTACTGATATGCTTAAGTTCCGCCCGTCGCCCCCGCCGCCTCGGGCCGCGCAGCCCGGCGGGACCGCCCCGGGGCGCTCTCTGCGGCGCGGCGCGCGGCACGCGGCGGGCGCCGAGGCGGCGGCGCCGGGGCGCGCTGCGTTCGAGGGTCGGTGCTTCTCGGGGCGGGCGGGTCCGCACCGCGTCTCGCGCTCCGCCGCGCTCTTCGTCGCCGCCCGGGCCGAGGCATCCGCCGGCGGGGCGTTCGGGGGCCGACCGGGCCGCGGGGGCGACGCGCGGGGCGCGCGAGGGATCCATCCGCAGGTTCACCTACGGATACCTTGTTACGACTTCTCCTTCCTCCAGGCGCGGGGGCTCGCGGCCCTTCGCGCGTCCGGGGCGCTCGCCGCCGCGCCCAGTCGGTAGGAGCGACGGGCGGTGTGTACAAGGGGCAGGGACGCGTCCGGCGCGCGGTGGGGGCGGGCGCCTACAAGACATTCCTGGTGCGCGGGGGCGTTCCAGCCCGCGGTCCCGGCCACGGCGGGGGCTCCGCGCGTCCTCGCGGGCGCCGGCTGGCCCCGCCAGTGTAGCGCGCGTGCGGCCCAGGGCGTCTGAGGGCATCACAGACCTGCTATCGCCCCGCCGTCCTCCCGCTCGCGCGGGCCGTCCCGCGGCGCCCGCGGCCGGGGTCTCGCTCGTTGTCGCAATGGAGCAGACGGCTCGCGCCACGGGCTGGGAGCGGCCATGCACCACCGCCCGCGCGATCGCGAAAGCGCGCCCGGCTGTCGGTCCTCCGCGCGTCCGGGCCTGGTGAGGTGCGCGCGTTGAGTCAGATTGAGCCGCAGACTCCACGTCTGGTGGTACCCCTCCGTCAATGCCTTCAAGTTTCAGCCTTGCGGCCATACTCCCCCCAGAGCCCGGAGCCTCCCGGTTTCCCTGGGCGGCCGGCGGGACGCGCGCGCCGGCCGCGGGGCGGCACCGTTTACGGCCGGGAATACGGTGGTGTCTGATCGCCTTCTAGCCCCCGGCCTTCGCCCTTGATTGACAGAGGCGGTCTTGGCAGGCGCCTGCGCGGCCGGCGGTCTCGGCGGGATCATCCTGTTTCACCCGTCCCCGGCCGGTACCGGTGCCCCCGCCCGCTCTCCTCGGGGCTGCCGCGGCGCGCCGCGCCCGCTGCGCGGTCCCACGCGGCGGGTCCAACGGGCCTGCCTGGAGCGCTCCCGTTTCCTCGTGGCGGCGGGGGGCCAACTACGGGCGTTTCAACTGCAGCAGCGCCGCGCGACGCTCGCCGAGCTGGAATTACCGCGGCTGCTGGCACCAGACCTTGCCCTCGGCTCCGCGGCGGGGGCTGTGGGCCCGCCTCGCTCGCGCGCTCCCCGTCGCTGCCTCGCGCGCCGCGCATTGGGCAAGTTCCGCGCCTGCTGCCGTCCTTGGATGTGCGGGCCGTCTCGCAGGCCCGCTCTCCGGAGTCGAACCCTGATTCTCCGCCAGGCGTCGGGCCCTCGGCGCGCCGCGACCGCGCCGACCGGGTGATGCCCCGGAAGCCCGGGCGGGCCGTCGCTGCGTCACGCTGCTCGCCCGCGGGCGCCCGCCCTTGCGCGCACGTCTTGGCGCCGGGTTGCCAGCGGTGTCCGGCTAGCAGGGACCGCCGCGGGGGGTGCAACCGTTGTCCTGAGCCGTCCGCCGCGTCCCGGGTGAGCGGGCATGCATGGCTTCGTCCTTGGGGAGAGCGTCGCGCTCCGGCAGGATCGACCGGATGGCCGGGCGCGGGCGCCGCGGGCCGGGCGCCTCCCTGCGCGGGGGCCGCCGCCTGGCACGGGGGCCGCCCCCTCCGTGCCCATGCCGTGTCGGGGGTCCCCCCTATAGTGCCGGGCGGAGGCCGCCCCCCACAGCCCGGCCCGGGTCCGCCTGCACCACACTTTTTGGATTCCCTTGGGGCCCTCTGCCCCCCTCCAAAAAACCGGCCCTCGCGAGATAAAGCACCTTGTCCTATATAGTGCGTGACAGAAGCCGCCCCCACACACCCCCTGGAGTCCCCCTGCACCACATTTTTTTGAAATCCCTTGGGGGCGTCCGGGGGCCGGGGGGCCGGTCCGCGGGGAGCGCCGGGGAGCCCGGGCGGACCCTGCAGGACTGCATATCACGGCAAACCCTCCTGTGCGGACCGCGTGTCCCGGGCTCCCTGCCGGTCGGGAGATCCGCGCCCCTCGTTCTCCGTCCACCGTGCCCCGGGGAGGCCCTTGACTGCAAAACGATCGAATTGGAGGCTGATTGTGCATCCGGGCGCTCTGGGGGCCCTCTCCGGGGAGACCGCCCGAAACGACTTCTCGCGGGGATCTCAGCAGCCGTGGCTATATACGGTCCGTCTCTAACCTATATGATTGCTGGCAGCGGGAGGGCACTGCGTGGGGGGCGGCCCCCCGGAAGGGCGCGGTCCGAGGAGGGGCCCCCGACCGGCCCTGGACCGACTGGGGCAGCCCCGGGTGCTGTGCGTGCGCCTGGCTGCAGCGGGGCCACGGGGCGCAGGAGGCCGCAGGAGAGACCGGAGTGTTTACTGGCCCGGGGGATCGGCTGCTCTGGGCCGTCCGGGGGTCCTTCCGCGCTCTCCCCGCGGTCCCCCGGTCTCCTGCACCGGGCCTCCCCAGCGCCCGTCCCCGCACGTGGGCGTGTCTCCCGGTCGTGCGTGGCCTGCTGGAGGCGCTGGGCCTCCCTGCCGCCCTCTCTGTCTGGATCCCCCGGGCCGCCTCCCCCGGGCCCCCTGCGGTCCTGCGCCGCCCCCCTGCGCACACGGGCGTCTCTCTGTGCAAGGCAGACCCGGTGGTGGGCGTGCACTGCCCCCTGGCCACCCCTTGGGGCACCCTGCACTCCCTCAATCTTCTCTTTCCGCGCTCTGCCTGTCTGTCTGCCCCGCACCCCCCCAGAGCAAGTGGGCCGCGCGCCCCGCCCCGCGCTCTGCAGGCGCGTCCCTCAGGCGATCGCAGGGCTCTGCGCCGTACAGGAGCGCCGCGCCGGGTGGTCTCCCCGGGCGGGGGCCGCTCGGCGACGGGGCACGGGGCTGGGGCGCGCGGCCGGGCGGGGCGCGAGGCGGGGTGCGCGCTTAGAGGCGGTCAGCGCAGGGCCCCCGGGCGCGGCGGCGCGGCGCTGCCCGGCCGGGCAACCGCGGGGCTGGCGGCCCGCGGCGGGCGTTCCTCTCGTACTGGCCCGCCGTGCTCTGGCCCCGGGGCCAGTAGGGTAAAACTAACCTGTCTCACGACGGTCTAAACCCAGCTCACGATCCCTTGAACGGGTGAACAATCCGACGCTTCCGCGCCGGTGCGCGCGGACGGTAGGAAGAGCCGACATCGAAGGATCAAAAAGCCGCGTCGCTGCGGGCGCTCGGCGGCCACAAGCCAGTTATCCCTGTGGTAACTTTTCTGCCACCTCCGCGCCCGCGGCCGGGGCGGCGAAGGATCGGTAGGCCCCGCTTTCGCGGCCCGCGCCGGCACGGGGGGCGCGGGTCGGGCGGGCTTGTGCCCTTCTGCTCCGCGGGAGGTCTCCGTCCTCGCTGAGCCCGCCGTGGGACGCCTGCGGTCCGGTGTAGCAGGCGCGCCGCCCCAGCCGAACTCCCCGCCCGGGCGGGTCCCCGCGCGACCGGGTGAGCGGGGCGGCGGCGGCCGTCAGGGTGTCTCAGGGGCGCGGCCTCCCCTGTGCGCTGCGCCGGCCGCCCCGCCCCACAGGCCCGGGCTGGAGTCAAGCTCAAAAGGGTCTTCTTGCCCCGCTGGCCGGCCCTCGCCCGTTCCCGAGGCTGGAGGCTCGCGGAGGCGCGGCTCGGGACAGTGGGATCCTCGTTGGTCCATTCATGCACGTCGGAAATTGCCCGACGAGGCATTTGGCTACCTTAAGAGAGTCATAGTTACTCCCGCCGTTTACCAGGGCTTCGGCGGATCGCTTCACGGTGACGGTCGTGGCACTGGGCAGAAATCACGTCGCGCCAGCGCCGGGTGCGGCCCTCGCGACGCTGTGTTTCTAGTAAACAGTCGGGATCCCCGCGTCCGTTCCAGTTCTGACCCGGCGCGCCGTCAGAGCCACTCCTTTTCCCGAGGTTACGGAGCCGGCTTGCCGACTTCCCTGAGCCGCGTTCGCTCCCGCGCTAGAGGCTGCTGACCCCGGAGTCCTGCTGCGGTCGGTACGGCGCGCGGCCGGCGCCCCCCGGCTTTTCAGGGGCGGCCGGGGACGCGCGGGGTCCGCCCCCGGGCCCCCCTCTCCGCGCAAGGCGTCCGGGGGCTGCGGGGCGTTCGCGGGCCGGGGCGCCGCCCGCCGCGGTCCCCGTGCGCGTCGCCGGGGGCGGGCGTCTCCGCGGGGGCCGCGCCTGCCGGAGTCTCCGCCGGCTCCCCGTTCGACGGGCGGGCACGCCCCTTCCCGGTCTTCACCCGCCGCTTAGGCCCGAGTCACCCGCGGCCAGATGCAGGCGCCGCGGAACCCGTCTCCCCCTCAGTCCTCCGGGGCGCGGAGTAGCGGCTACTGCTGCCGAGATCTGCACCAGAGGCCGGTCCGGCGGGGCCTGCGCGCCGCCTTCGCCCCCGGGGCCTCTGCGGCCTCCTACCCGCCGCGCGCGGCGGCCGGGCGCGGGTCCGGGGCTCCGGCGCGCTCCATTTTCCGGGCCGGCCGATTCGGCTGGTGGGTTGTTACACACTCCCTGGAGGATGCCGACTTCTGGGGCCACCTTCCAGCTGTCGGGACCGGCCGACGCCGTTCCGCGGGCCCCGGCGGCGCACCCTGGCCCGGCGTCCGGATCGTCCCGCCTCGCCCGTCCTGCTTACCAGGAGGGGCCCACGCGCCGCCCGCATTCGCCCGCCCCGC